TTGGTTTATTGAATGAATCCAGAAAGTCAAGAACCTCCGTTGAGTCTCTTGATGTTAGAATCTCTTGCAGACTAACTGACATGAATGACTCATTTTGCAGCCCTGGGTTCCATGAACAGCATAACGCCAGAAAGTCCTGAAGAACATGTTGCAGAGGGAGGAAACATCAACCTGACCTGTAAATATGAGGGTGTTATCAACAATATCCAGTGGTACCGACAATACCAGAGATCCAGACCAGAGTTCCTGCTCTCCATCACAGAGAGTGGATCGATTCATCCAACTGGTTCAGTTTTCTCAGCTCACATTAATAAAGAAGAGAAACGTGTGAATCTGCAGATCATCTCAGCTAAAGTGACAGACTCTGCTGTGTACTACTGTGCTCTGCAGCCCACAGTGACAGGAAACACCAAAACTCTGTACAAAAACCTTTGGAGCAAAGACAACAGAATACTCCACAACGTCCACTAGAGGGAGTCACACACTGTTAAACTTCAGTTGTATGTTATCATATCGTCTGGATTCTTTGCACTGATGATAAAAACTTGAAGAAAAATGAGGCATAAATGATCAAGACAAATGAAGGAGACTGATGTTAACTATGTAGATAAATTATTGTTTACATCAATATTCCTTTGAGCTCCAGAATATTTATTGCTGCTGGACTAGTCTGAAGTTTCAGTGGCGTCTTTTCTTCTTCTGTGGTCTGATTCTGATTGGCCACTAGATGACACTGTAGCTGCTGTTAATCCAAGCTGAGCCACATTATCAAGTAGGCGGTGCACTACTTCTGCACTGTGTTCAACCATTCTGTCAATAATAACTGCTGCTGTGAAGAGAACAATTCTCAGACTGAATGTTGAACATCAGCTAGTTTCTCCTGTTGATTTAAACCTTGTTGTAGAGATGGAACATTGGCTGGGGATTATTCTTGCTGCTCTTTTCTTTGGTAAGATAGAAAGCACAACATCTTTTTATTCTTTTCTAAAGATTTATGGAAACAGCTGAGCTGTTTGTGTCCACAGAGTAACACTGTACAGCTGCCATTTTCCACTGTCTTCTCCTCTCAGCCTCATGAACAATGTTAGTCTAATGGCTTCATTTGCTCTACTTTTTCCAGGACTAATAGCTGGAGACACAATCTCTCCTGAACGAGAGGAAGTCAGTAAAAGAGAAGGACAATCTGTCACACTCACATGCAACTATCAGACAGCTGCTATTGATATTCTCCTTTTCTGGTACAGACATCATTCTGACCTTCAGGCACCTCAGTTTATACTCTGGAAAGGAGCAAAAGATATCTCAGATGAACATATTCCTGATAGAAGATATGAATCTGAAACATCAGCAACATCAACTACACTGACCATCAGAGATCTAACCCTGGCAGACACAGCTCTCTACTACTGTGCTCTAGAAACACAGTGATACAAAGTGTAGAAGAGGCTGTACAAAAACCTGAACCCAGATATCTGACTACTCTTCAAAGAGGAGGGAAGTGGTATTCAAACCACAGCTTCATATCAGATGGATTCTGCTAATTCCTGTTTTATCAGAGTCACTGTGGTTCCAGCTGCTAATGAAACACTGGGGGAGGATTCACAGGAGCAGCAAATCCACATCAGAGAGAAACCACCTGCAGGAGGCTTCAAGCACAAGCCCATTTCTCCATTAAAACAAATAAATGTATACTGAAACTAAAATTAATAATGTGTCAGATCTGACCTTCAACATGTCCAACAGAGACCACAGTCCCTATAATATGAAACAATTCCATACACAAGGTTTGCCTTCAGGCTCAGCTTCCTCTTCACCACAATGGTCTTGTCATGGGCAGCTGAGTGCAGGAGCAGAAAGCTGAGGTGCAGACCCAAATGCACCCAAAACTAAGCAGGCTTACGCTGGGAGCACAGCGGCAAATGTTCAAACAAGGTAACGCCAAACAAAACATAATCCAAAGGGAAGAGTCCGAGAACAAAGAACAAAGTACAATCCAACAACATAATCGAAAGCGCAGGGACGGGACAGAACACGCAACACAGACAAAGGACGTGACAAAGACTGAACAAAACTGAGGTCTTAAATACACAAGTAAACGAGCAGGGCGGGAGTGCACAGGTGAAAGACATGAGGAGCTAATCAGGCACAGCAGACACACAGTGAAACAGCAAGCTAACCAGGCAAGAAAGTAATACAGAACAGAATAAACCGAAATGACTATAAACACAACAATACACAGATCCATAAAGAAAAAAGGCAGAAGTAACAAACTAATAATCAAGACAATACACTAACCAACAACAGGAACAAAGCTAGACAAGAACACCAGGCACAGAAGATTACAAAATAAAACAGGAAGTAAAGTACACAGGAACACACAAGGAAAGATCTACCAAAGTAAAACACAAAACATGGAAAGACTGCAAAATCAGGGCATGGACAGAGACAGGACCAAACAGGAGACAGGACTATACTAGAACATGGAGACATAAGACTAAGTACTAAGACACAGATCAAAATAATAAAACACAGAAGTACACAGACCAGGAATGACACTAAACATGAACTAAGCACACAACTAAGAACAAAAGGCACTGGACTAAGAACTGAGGCTAAGAAGTAAAATGCAAGACTAAGAACTAAGATAAGAGGCCAGACAGATACTAAGAAAACTTAAACATGAGAATGAACAAAAGACTTAAACATGATCAAATAATGAACCACAGAAATACAAAACCCAAACCATGAAACCAGATACTAAGTAAACTAGAACATGTGCCTGAATAAAAATAAACAAGGCTACAGAGAGAAACTCAGAACCAAAAACGGACTTAAACAGGAAAGACATGAACACAAAACCACACTCCTAACAGGTCTGGTACAACGCCTGCATGACTGCTGACGCCGCACCAATCTGCCTGTCGATGTCATGCTTCATTTTACCGTCACTGGTGAACAAGACCACAAGATACTTGAAGTCCGTCACTTGGAGCAACAACTCTCTCCCACCCAACAAGGAGCCATCCGGCGTTTTCCAGCAGAGAACCATGACTTCAGACATGGAGGTGCTGACCACTTCACATTCAACTGCAACTCGTCCCAGTTCATGTTGGAGGTCACAGTCTGATGAAGCCAACAGAGCCACATCATCTGCAAATAGCAGAGAAAAAATGCTCAGGCCCCCAAACCGAACACCCTCCTCCCCCCGGATGCTCCTTCAGATTTTGTTCATGAAAGTTACAAACATAATCTGCGACAAGGGACAAACCAGCCAGCCCAACACCCACCTGCTGAGTGTACAAACACAGCTCTCACTCTGGTTTTGTAGGGACAGGATGTCTCGTAGCAACAGCCATGGTACCATGAATATGTTTTTATGATGTTTTAAATTGTCACCTGGTGAAATATCAAAAGTTAATACGTGATGTTTTAAAATATACAGTCAGGTTGACTTAAGCACTGACCGATCGATTTTCGCCTCAAACTGCAAATGGGAAGTCACGGATGATCACATTGTCTTGTCTTCATATGCATGCCACACACCTCCTTGAAGCTAGGAGGCTCAGCTACATCTCAAACAGACCATTTTTATCCACACCTAACCAACCACGCATCTAAATGAACTTATATCACAACATAAATTGGGGCTGCAGTTCATCTCATCTCATCCTACTACGACCACTCTAAAGAAAGCTGAGCTCCAGCTCTGATCAGCTGTATAACTCCTATCAATCAACTCACAAAACTCAGAGCCGACTAATAACAAACGCAGCAATATGTGCTTACAGTTACAACGCTGACATACTTTTGTCTTTTCCCTGGATTCAGTCCAAAAACAGCTGTTTTCTGTGTCAATAGAGCCCGCCATCTTGGTATTGCACAATCAGTGAGCTCTTTAGGCAGGGTACACCCTGGACAGGTCGCCGATCCATCACGGGGCCACACATAGACAAACAACCAGTCACACTCACACCTAAAGAGAATTTAGGGTCACCAATCAACCTAGCCTGCATGTCTTTGGACGGTGGGAGGAAGCCGGAGCACCTGGAGAGAATCCACGCAGACACGGGGAGAACATCTCTACACAGAAAGGCCGGGGCCGGGTTCGAGCCTGCAACCTTCTTGCTGTGAGGCGACAGCGCTAACCACTATACCACCGTGCCGCTTCTTTAGGTTTCTTTTCTCATCAAAATGAAGGAGAGAAGAAGAGTTGCTTTGGAACAGATGGTCATTATCGGCCTCTACTGGCCCGTATGAGCTACACAGACATCCAGTGTACCATCAGTTCGTCTCTTCAATACGAAGAGAACGAGCCCACCTACAGCCCTGTAGGAGGTTCTGTTATCAACTTGTATGCCTGTAAAGCATGGAGTGCTTTAGGTCACAGGAATGTTGATCAATATTCACTGTTTTTATCAATATTTCAATGTTTTGGAAGCTTTATATTTTTTGGAACATGGTTGTATGGACAGAAATAGTGTTTTGAAGAAAACTCCCAGTACATTTATATTTAAGCTGAGGCTTTTATTCAAAGCGACTTACTATTGCTACACATGTCAGAGCCTCTGGAGCAACTAGGGGTTAAATGTCTTGCTCAGGGACACAGTGGTGAATGTGTCACAGTGGGGGATTGAACCCTGGTCTCTCACACCAAAGGCATAGTCTTATCCACTGCACCACCACCAAATGGTTCATTTACAGTTTCTCCATATCCCTTAGTTTCTGGCCTCAAAGGAGACCAGAATTATGCAGCTAGGCGTAATGGTTGAGGAGTTATTACTGATTTATTTTAGGTATGTTATTTTAGGCCTTTTTTTTCTGGAAGTAGGTGTTAGTTTCCAAGAGGTTGAATCTCAAAATTGTTTCAGCTTTAAAACCTTCAATTTATATCCAAAAGACAAAACTATTAAAGTGTAAACAACATAAAATCATGACGTTCAAATATTTATTGCCATTTTATGAACAAAACAGAATTAAGAGGCATTAGCAGATTTAGAATGAGACCCAGCTGTGATGAAGAGCTTCAGAAATGAAACTACTGTGAAATATGAGTCTCCTCCTACTGACTGCAGAGCTGCTTCATGGCAGAGAACTCTTTGATTCCAGCTGTGAACATCAGACCAAACACAACTGACAGAACGTGTTCATACTGAACATTCAGTTCCAGCATTTCTCCTCTGTCAACATGGAGAAACTCGCTGCACTTTTGTTCTTTTCAGCTCTCGTAGGTACGTGTGTTTCTGACAGTGAGTGCTGGTTTTAAATGATGGATGTCTGCCTTTGGAACAGAACTCTGAATCTAACATGTTGTTTCCCTCACTAGGTAACACCTTGGAAGATGATATTACTGCCAGCAGAGCTGAAGTGTTCTCATCAGAGGGCCGTAGTGTTACTCTGTCCTGTAGCTATTCAGTTAAAGCCGAGAATCTCCAGTGGTATCGACAGGATCCTGGATCAGCTCCTCAGTTCCTTCTCCTGATCACTGATGCAAAAGAGCCTTCAGTGGAGGAAGCAAAACCTCCACACCCTCAACTGACCGCTAACCTGAATGAGGAGAGGAATCGAGTCGATCTGCAGATCTCCTCTGCTGCAGTGACAGACTCTGCTGTGTACTACTGTGCTGTGAAGCCCTCAGTGACAGGAAACACCAAAACTCTGTACAAAAACCTTTGGAGCAAAGACAACAGAATACTCCACAACGTCCACTAGAGGGAGTCACACACTGTTAAACTTCAGTGTGATGATGAAGTCTTAAATTACTTATATTCTACATGAATCAATGAAATATTTGTAATATCTTATAGGTATAAAACATTTTAACAACACTTAGCAGGAAGCCTTTCATTAGGAGGGGATGTCTCTGAATGATCTTCCTCGAGGGTTTTTCAATCATGATTTTTAAACCTATAGGCAAAGGGAACATACAGAGATAATATCTTTGTGTCACAGTAAGTTCAATTGGGCAAAGAGGAACACGAGGGAGTGGACCAGACCCAGAACCAGAACCAGAGGAAGGTTCAGTTTTATGGTTTTCAAAATAAAAGAGTACACTGACTTACAGCAAGCTGAGGCAGGCCAAGGTCCACACAGGCAGACACATAGCAAACACATCCAAAGGAAGCAGCAATAAACCAAATCTAAACGGTCTAATACATCAGGCCAAAAATCCAAAACACAGGAAAACACTGGGAAATGGCTGGAAAGCTTGACATATAGACAAAGACAAGGCAGGCGCACAGACTAAACACACAAGTGAGGGGAGATTAAGAAGACACAGGTGAAACTAATTAGGACAGGGCAGCCAATCAAACGGGCGGGAAAACACGAGGGCAGGAAATAAAGTAAGACAAGACACAGGAGATACAACATAAAATAGAAAATAACAACATCAAAACCCAAAACCATGACACCATGTCAATAATATGGAGTCTTAAAACACATTGTGATTGGTTTATGGAATAGACGATAACTGACTGATGAACTCAGCATCCGGCTGTGAGCTCTATTTTCTTTAAGTTAATCACAAGTGCTTTCACTTTGGCTGACTTAAAGAAAATCAGAAAGAAAGAAAAGCATAATTGCAGAGAATTAAGAACACCAGTATATATAAATATGTCTCGGTAACACTTTATTTGAAGGTGCTTGTAATAAGCAGTAATTAACAGTTAATAAGCAGCAATTAAAAAATAATCAAACACTTTATAAAGATGTTTATAACACAAATAAGTGTTAACTAAAGCACAATTAACTCATTTATTATTGATAAGACACTTATAGGCCCTTATTAGGAACTTGTTGATGTTTATTTACCTGTCATAAACATTATTAAGCTGTTTATTAACATTTTATAAGGGCTGGTTATTGATAAATTAACAGAATTGTTATTTCCTTGTAAGACACTTGTAGTGGGTTAGGGTTAAAAAATCTTAATATTTATAGGCAGCTTATGAAATACATTTTTATTAACATTGACACTTAACTTTAGCATGCAGCTATAAAATAAGGTATGTAGTTTAAAATAAGGCATGTAGATTAAAATAAGGCATGTAGTTTAAGCTAACATTAGCATGCAGCTATGAAATAAGGCATGTAGTTTAAAATAAGGTATGTAGTTTAAAATAAGGCATGTAGTTTAAGCTAACATTAGCATGCAGCTATGAAATAAGGCATGTAGTTTAAAATAAGGTATGTAGTTTAAAATAAGGCATGTAGATTAAAATAAGGCATGTAGTTTAAGCTAACATTAGCATGCAGCTATGAAATAAGGCATGTAGTTTAAAATAAGGTATGTAGTTTAAAATAAGGCATGTAGTTTAAGCTAACATTAGCATGCAGCTATAAAATAAGGCATGTAGTTTAAAATAAGGTATGTAGTTTAAGCTAACATTAGCATGCAGCTATAAAATAAGGCATGTAGTTTAAAATAAGGTATGTAGTTTAAGCTAACGTTAGCATGCAGCTATAAAATAAGGCATGTTGTTTAAGCTAACTTTAGCATGCAGCTATAAGATAAGGCATGCAGTTTAAGCTAACATTAGCATGCAGCTATAAAATAAGGCATGTCGTTTAAGGCATGTAGTTTAAGCTAACATTAGCATGCAGCTATAAAATAAGGCGAGTTGTTTAAGCTAACTTTAGCATGCAGCTATAAAATAAGGCGAGTTGTTTAAGCTAACTTTAGCATGCAGCTATAAAATAAGGCATGTAGTTTAAAATAAGGCATGTACTTTAAGCTAACATTAGCATCAAGATATAAAATAAGGCATGCCATTTAAGTTAACTTTAGCATGCAGCTATAAAATAAGGCACGTAGTTTAAGCCAACTTTAGCATGTAGCTATAAAATAAAGCGAGTTGTTTAAGCTAACTTTAGCATGTAGCTATAAAATAAGGCACGTAGTTTAAGCTAACTTTAGCATGTAGCCATAAAATAAGGCGAGTTGTTTAAGCTAACTTTAGCATGCAGCTATAAAATAAGGCATGTAGTTTAAGCTAACATTAGAATGCAGCTATAAAATAAGGCATGTACTTTAAGCTAACATTAGCATGCAGCTATAAAATAAGGCGAGTTGTTTAAGCTAACTTTAGCATGCAGCTATAAAATAAGGCATGTTGTTTAAAATAAGGCATGTACTTTAAGCTAACATTAGCATCAAGATATAAAATCAGGCATGCCATTTAAGCTAACTTTAGCATGCAGCTATAAAATAAGGCACGTAGTTTAAGCTAACTTTAGCATGTAGCTATAAAATAAGGCATGTAGTTTAAGCTAACATTAGCACGCAGATATAAAATAAGGCATGTAGTTTAAGCTAACGTTAGCATGCAGCCATAAAATAAGGCATGTAGTTTAAACTAACATTAGCATGCAGATATAAAATAAGGCATGTAGTTTAAGCTAACATTAGCATGCAGCTATAAAATAAGGCATGTAGTTTAAACTAACATTAGCATGCAGATATAAAATAAGGCATGTAGTTTAAGCTAACATTAGCACGCAGATATAAAATAAGGCATGTAGCTTAAGCTAACATTAACATGCAGCTATAAAATAAGGCATGTCGTGTAAGCTAACTTTAGCACTTGGATTTTTAGAGCAGCTTGAATAATGTCTTAGGGTGTTTTCTCTCAACCTGGACATTAGAAATTGGTCCAAGAGATGGCTGCAGTGAAACAAGCTACAATGTAACATTAATATGCCGCTGCACACCTTCAGTTTCCATCCATAACGTGCTTGTTTTGCCACTGACACGCTCAGATAATTATTCTTAGTGTCTGAGAAAATAAGAAATGTACTGAAGTATAAAGGGTAGCTGTATTAGGAGTGCAAATTACAATGTGATGTCCAATCTCGCATTCATGAGGTATATATAACTTATAGCTCTAATAAAGGCCTATAATTGTCTTATAAGCAATAATTAATCAATTAATAGTTTATTAGGCTTTAATTAACACTTATATTGTTGTTTATAAGCATCCTATAAGGTCTTATAAGTGTCTTATTAACTGTTAATTACTGCCTATTACAAGCACCTTAAAATAAAGTGTTACCTACGTCTCATTTACAGAAAATAAAGCAAAAACTTTCACATCCTGTGGAATTTACTGGTAAGGTAGGAAGTGGAACAGAGAGAAGTGAAAATCCAGAGCTGCGAGGAGACGGAGAGATTGAGGGAGGAGCTAAGCTGTTAGTGAACTATAGAAGAGAGAGGAACTTCCATATTCAGCAGAGTTCAATACACAAAGCAGAAACATTCCCTTTATTCAACATGCTGTCATTGGACTATTATGTACTTTCTCTACTGTTACTATCCATTCTAACAGGTATGTGAGATCCTGCTGAGAAAGTTTCATTACTAACTTTTCTGGATGGGATTCATTTGTTGAGTCTTTTACAACATGAAATAACAGAGTTATCTCTTCCTTCAGGTGTCAGCTGTGAAGAACTCACTGCAGTCAGGAATGAAGAGTTCACTTTAGAAGGCAGCTCTGTTACTCTGTCCTACACATACTCTAAACTGTCATCTAGTAATTATTTCTTCTGGTATCGACAATATCCAGGAAAACCACCAGGGCTCCTCATCTCACACTCTGCTTCAGGAAAAGTAGGAAATAATCAAAAACCTGGACTAAAGATTCAAGTGGAGCAAAAAGAGATAAATCTGCAGATCTCCTCTGCTGCAGTGACAGACTCTGCTGTGTACTACTGTGCTCTGCAGCCCACAGTGACAGGAAACACCAAAACTCTGTACAAAAACCTTTGGAGCAAAGACAACAGAATACTCCACAACGTCCACTAGAGGGAGTCACACACTGTTAAACTTCAGTGGTTTATGATCCAGTCTGGATTTGTTGTGGTGTGACCAGCCTTTGCCTTCAAACAGCAGTTCTCCTAAGTACACTTGCATAAAGTCAGGGATTTTGTAGGCATGTCATCAGGTGTATAGAATCATTATTCCAGACAGGTGCCAATGATCAGCAATTCAATATGTAGTTTGAAACACAATCATTAAGTGAAACAGAAACAGCTGTGTAGGAGGAATCCAGCTGAGTGAGGAACAGCCAAACTCAGCTAACAAGGTGAGGCTGCTGAAGACAGTTTGAAGAGTCAGACATCATGGCAAGACTGAGCACAGCACACAAAATGCTCTTATCATCTAATACAGCTAAGAATTGAGTTAGCACCACCTTTTCAATAACTTTGTATATGAAAGCATATTTTTTTTTATTAGAGGCTGAATGCTGGCTTGCTTAAAATAATTGCGGATGTGGCAGGAAGTAATGTAACAATTAATAATGTGAAGTAAGCTAGGGCCAATGTCACCCATAACCCATATGTCTCGCATATGGTGGGTGGTGATGGTGCAGTGGATAAGACACATGCCTTCGGTGTGAGAGAATCACTGTGAAACACCTATGAATCCCTGAGCAAGACACTTAACCCCTAGATGCTCCAGAGGCATGCGACCTCTGACATACATAGCAATTGTAAGTCGCTTTGGATAAAAACGTCAAATAAATGTAAAATAACGTTTTAAGGGGAGTGAGGTGGTTAAAATGTCAAGAAGGCTTGAAGAGGAAAGTGTGAGAGAGACAGTATCGATGAGCTCAGGAAGAGAAATTAGCTGAAAATGGCTGTGCAGTTCAGGACAGCCAGGGTTATCAGAAATATCAGCAACAACAGTGGTAGTAGCTGTTAGACCTAATGTTAGACTTTTTGCTTAGAAAAAGATAATAAAAACATCTCACAGTCAGCATTTGAAGAGAGTGGTAAGGCAGGGGGAGTCTGTCTAATGGTTTTAAACAGGAAT